AAAAAAACTATGAGCATAGATGCAATTATCTTCAACAAAATATTAGCAAACTGAACTCAGCAACACATTGAAAAGATAATCTATCATGCTTAAGTGGTTTTCATCCCAGAGATGCAAGGATAGTTCTACAAATGCAAATGCATAAGTGTTATTCAGCACATAAAGAGGATATAAAGCAAAAACCATATGATCAAATGCAGAAAAAGCATTTGACAAAATTCAGCACCCCCCTCATAAAAAAAAAACCTGGAACCTATCTCAAAATAATAAAACCCTTTCATCATATGATGAACCCTCACCCACTATTATACTGAATGGGGAAAATTTGAGAACATTCCCCCTGTGACCTGGAACAAGAAAAAGACTCCACCAAAAGACTCCTATAAATTGATAAGTGAATTTAGCAAAGTCTCAGATTATGAGATCCATGTATGCAAATCATTAGCATTTCTATATACCAATAACAGTCAAGCTGAGAGTAAAATGAAGAACTCAATACTATTTAAAATAGCTGCAAAGAAATAAAATACCTAGAGATATACTTAACCAAGGAGAACTACAGAACACTGATGAAAAAAATCATAGGTAATACAGACAAGTAGAGAAACATTCCATGTGGATTGAAAGAATCAACATTTTAAAAATATGCATATTGCCCAAAATGATTTATGCATTCAGTGCAATTCCCATCAAAATACCAACATCATTTTTCACATATCTCAAAAAACAATCCTAAATTTCATATAGTACCAAAAAAACCTGAACAGGCAAAACAGTCCAAAGCTAAGAAAACAGATCTTGAGGCATCACCATTACCTGACTTCAAATTATACTACAAGGCTATGGTTACCAAAACAGCATGGTACTGGTACACATTTAAACATAGACATATAGACAAATGGAATAGAATAGAAATCCCAGAAATAAAGCCATATAGCTACAACCAACTGATTTCTGACAGAGCAGATAGCAACATACACTAAGGAAGGGAAGCCTCGTATTCAGTAAATGGTGCTGTCAAAACTGGATAGCAACATGCAGAAACTGGATGCCTGTGTCTTACCATATACAAAAACTAAGATGAATTAAGAACTAATGTTCAACTTGACACCCTAAAAATTCTAGAAGTAAATGTAGGAATAACTCTTATGGACCTTGGGCTAGGCAAAGAAGTTCTGATTAAGTCCCCAGAAGATAAATAAATGAGACTTAAAAAGTTTCTCTACAGCCAAGGAAATAGCAGTGAATAGACAACTTACAAATGGAACAAAATATTTGCAAACTGTAAATGCAAAACCAGGCTAATATCCATAATCTACAAAATCTCAAGCAAGAAAACAACTCAGTGTGCAAAAGACATGAGCAGAGTCTTCTCAAAAAAAGATAGAAAAATGGCCAAGATACATGAAAAATAATGCTCAACATTACTAATGATTGGGGAAATGCAAATTAAAACCAAAGTGAGAAACCCTTTATCCTTACCCTACGTGACCTTGCCCTTGTCAGAATTGCCATTATTATTAACTTAAAAAGCAACAGATGTTGCCATGGATGTAGTGAAGAGACATTTACACACTAGTGGTGGGAATGTAAACTAGTTCAACGTCCATGGAAAACAGTATGGCAATTTCTCAGAGAACTAAAGATAGACCTACCTGTAATAGAGCAATCCCACTATTGGATGTACAACAAAGAAAAGAAGTCATTTTATGAAAAGAAAGCTGTATCTGATTGGTTTTTGCAGCACAGTTCACAGTTGCAATGCTATCAGATCAACCCACCTGCCCATCAACTGATGAAGGATAAAGAAAAATGTGTGCATTTGCACACACACAGAGACCGTGGAATACTTCTCAGCCATAAAAAGGAATTAATAAATGTCTTTTGCAGCAACTTGGGTGGAACTAAAGACCATTAACCTAAGTGGACTATCTCAGGAATGGAAAAACAAAATTCACCACATGTTCTCACTTGTAAGTGGGAGCTAAATGAAGAATATACGTATATGTGGTCATTAGATGGTATAATGGACATTGAAAACTGTGGCAGCTGGGAGGGGTATGAGGGATTAAAATTTACCTTTTGGTTACAGTGTACGCTTTTCTACTGATGGGTACTTTGTACATATCCCTTTTGTACATATGTGTACCATTGATACGTGTATCAAAAAATACTTGTACTCTCTAAATATATTGAAATTTAACAAAAACTTCATGCTTATAATTGTTCTCAAACAATATAAAAAATTATTGGATTTTACAAGATTCACCCAAATCTTGATGATTTTGAATCATTTTTTTCAACAACTCCCTTGTTACAGTTAAATTATAATATTATGAATGGACTTTCAACTCTCTGAAAAAAAAATTCTCTGTGAAAATTACCACAAAATATTTAACTATGGATTCCAGACAAATGAGAACATTTGCCTTTTTTCTTGGGCAAAAAACCTGTGTGTTATAAATAGCAAAAATTTTTAAGAAAAATATGATTTGTCTTTTGCAGTATAGAAAATGTATGTAGATATATATGTACACATAGATATACACATACATATATAATAAGTATAAAGCAAACATTTAGTAGATAGTTATAAGTAAAATTAATGGTATTTTATAAAATCTTAGTAGTATTTTGGTAATACAGTGTTATATAATGGTTACCTTTCAAAAATGTATAATGATGATTCTTGTTCCCGGTTATACTAAATATCTCATAGTGATTTTTCTTCATTATTGTAGGGACATGTTAAATTGGCTAAATTTGGTCTTTATCACATGACGGCTCATGGTGATGATGTTGATTTCCCTATAGGGTAAGGATGATTTCTTCCGTTTTGAGTTCTATATTAAACTTCGTAATCTTTGAAAACATGTATATTTTGTTAGTGATCACTTTGATAATGCTTTTTGACATGAAAACAGGTTTTCTTTATTAATACATCTTAACTTTTCCTATACTTAAAGAGTAGACAATGAATTTTTCTCTAGCATCTTAAAGATCCCTGATATTTATCAAACATTGAACTGGTGAAGAGGATAGACAGATTATTTACCTTCTTTACTTTATAATATTTCCTAATTAGTTGTATTTCATTCAGAATTAAGTCAGTTTAAGTCTTAAACTTATTAAAAGGCAGATCAGATTCTCAATTACCGATAATGGATGTGCATCACAAGAGTGAAAAATATTTTTTTTTTTTTTACTGTTTGTGATTCATTGAAGGTAGAAAGAATTAGGTTACACTGATTGCATTTGTTAGGTAAAGTCCCTCTTATAATTTTATCTCATCCCCATATAGCTAATAGTATTAGACTTTATTCAGCCAGGAAATATTTATTGAGCACTTTTTTTTCTGCATGTTTGAGATGCAAAAATAGATTGTATAGGTAGGTGCCTGTCTTCAAGAAGCTCACTGTGGAGTGGAAGAGTTTTCTGTTTTGATGACCTACTTATTAAGTTCTATGAATGCATAATCTTATCATTTTGAATATTAAAACTTTTAAGTGTCAGTTTTTTCATAAGCATGTAAATGATATTTTGTTAAAGGTCATCTATAATTTCTTATTTGTTCATAAAACATTTTGAATACAGTAACTGACAAGATAGTTTCTATCTTGTTTATCATATGAAATATCTGTCTTTTCAAGTAACTTTTAAGTAACTGTAATAAATGTGATTTCTGTTGTTCCTTCCTTCTGTGTAAATCAGTTTTTATAAGTGAGAATTCAAAAAAATAATATACACAAAAATTAATGGTTTAGACTTTTATTTAAAGGTGTTTTAAATAATAGAAGACAGGAGATAATTTTTCTTAATGCTTATCAAGCATTTTGAAGAACTACATTTGAATTTTAAAAGCTTAGGTAGAATTGGTCTTGTGTTACCATTTGGTCTGGCATGCTTTGAAGTCTTAGACCCGGAGGGTCTTACCAGAAAATATCAAAGAGCAAAATGTGAAACATTAGCCAGGAAAAATAAAGTGATCAAACAGCTAAGGCATGAAAGAAAATATTTACACCAGAAGCCGCTTACGGTTGATATAAAAGACAAATATTAAGGAACAACAAAGTAAAATGTTACCATCTGTCTCAAAATATTGTAAAGAATTTGAAATTGGGCATTCATTTCAGTTGGCCAGTAGCTTAATACCTTGTTAAAACATCAAACGGATGATGAAAGCCACTTACATTTACTTCATCAGTCATACTGCAGCAAAGCTCTGGTAATTGTCTTTGAGTGTTAAAATGCTACCCCAAAAAAGAGAAGGTTGTTGAAAGATGACTTACATTAAAGAACAATCCTTTTTATTAATTTCTGTCTTTGATTAAAGGGACACTCAAATTTTTGGAGTCTGTGCTTCTTTCAGAAGTTTTTGAAATAATACTTTTCCTATAGTTTTCCTTAACTTTTCATTATCATATTATTTTGACGTTAGACATCCTGGACATCAAGAATAAAAATGAACAGTTTGCCTTCTAGATATGTTATGGTGCTGCTAAAAGTGCAACACGGCATTTGTGTATATTTTCCATTTTTATAAAACTGTTTTGTGTATGCATTAATAGTTATAAGTTTTGTGAGGTAAACATTTTTAATGCTATTTTGCAGGTAAAAAGACTCAAATCACATATAGAATATTTGGTAGGACTGAAATTAGAATGCAAGTGTTCCGATATCAAGTCCAGGGCTGCTTTCAGTACACTTTAGGTGAATTTTATATATTCATTCAGAAGAGCAGTATGATCATCCTGGGGTAAAATAACATAATATAAATTTTTGTATGAGAGAAATACCTGAGAAAATTAAAAGAAGATGTGAATCTCCCTGTCATCATTCTGTTTAAATGAAAATGGGGTTAAAAACAAATGTACTCATTTGAATTTGTCATATTTCTTGACTGAGTTGATTTGTATTCTACATGTAAATAAGAAGTACTAATAATGATAGCGTGAAGAGGCGGCTTTAAGAACAGATAGGAAGAGAATTAGAAGCAATGTTTGAGCGCCTCACTTAAGTGTATAACTTTGACTTAGTCTGTGCAAAACAAAATATGTAAACATTACCTGTGTGTTCCCTAACATTCTGAAATTAAAAAAAAAATAATTACAACAACAAAAATATGTATAGGTGATGGGTACAGAGATAGGAGACAGTCTTACTTTTCAATTTATATGTTTTTTATCACTTTGACATTTCTACTCAAAATAATAAATATTGTTTTTAAAGATAAAATGTACTTTAAATAATAATTTATAGTTTTAAAAGAAGGTAGGCAATAAGGAGCAAAGAAAAAACACCTAGAAAACCGAAGGACTGCAAGGAAGGCAGCGTGTCGAAAACAGAGGAGAGCACAGGAAGGAAGTGAAGTTGCACAGAGACTTGATGACGGCTTTACAACTGTTGGAGGCTCGTGTATATTTACTCTTGATTCCTCCGGGCCCCTCTATGGTGGTGGTTAGTTTAGAATTCTTCCTAGCAACCGCTGTCAGTTTAATCACATGGGGCTTCTCCATAGGTCTTACCACACTGATAGTTAAAATGCGCTATTGCTGCTTGTCCCTGTTGTAATTGTTCATTATTTTAACATATCGTTTATAGGTATCCATCATACTTGGCACCTGAGGTAATTGCACAAGGAATTTTCAAAACCACTGATCATGTGCCAAGTGAAAAACCACTGCCGTCTGGCCCCAAATCAGATGTGTGGTCTCTTGGAATTATTTTGTTTGAGCTTTGTGTGGTATGTATAAAGAAATATTAAACCAATAAAAAGAAATTGTGTGTTCACTGGAGTAATCTGTTTGAGAGGAAAGTTATTGAATGATACGTTGACCAGTTTGATGTGAACATTCCAGATTGTATATAGAGCCAGCACATGTTCCCCATAAATGCAGTAATGTACACAGTTATGATCTATTTAAAAAAAAAAAAGGAAATTGATTAGATGTAAGGAGAAAAGGCTTAATTCTTGATTTGACTTAAAAAAAAATTTTTTTTGATAATTATTTTGCAAAGTTTTGGTAAATTTAAATTTTACTAAATGTGCATTATTTTGGTTCTTCTAGAAATGTTTCTATTTACACTTTTATTGCATATACTTTTTTATATATTCATAGTTTCTTTCCCTTTTGGTGATCTTTTCTCCTGAAAAACCTTTTCCTGTGCTCAGTGCCCATAGCTCAGCGACTAGGGCACCAGCCACATACACCGGAGCTGGTGGGTTCAAATCCAGCCTGGCCTGCCAAACAGCAATGACAACAATAACAACAACAATAGCCAGGCGTTGTGGTGGGTGCCTGTAGTCCCAGCTGCTTGGGAGCCTGAGGCAAGAGAATCGCTTAAGCCCAAGAGTTTGAAGTTGCTTTGAGCTGTGATGCCACAACACTCTACCAAGGGCAACATAATGAGATTCTCTTTCAAAACAAACAAACAAACAAACCCCTTTTCCTGTCCTATTCTCTTATGTTCCCTGTAAAACCAATTTGTACGTTGGCTTTTTATGAGGCCTTCCCAAGATATCCACTCTTTTTTATTAGAGTCAAAACAAGTTGCTTTTTAAAAAAATAGAAAATGCAGTAACTTTAAGAACATAGATGTTTTATTCTATCTCAGTAACAGTCTAGAACAGGTAGGTGGGCTCTGCTCTACGTCATGTGAAAACCTAGGCAGTCGGGAATGAGTCCATCATGCTCAACATCTGGTCTCCAAAATTGCTTTCTTAATCACTTCTTTGGGTAGAAAGGAAGGAGAGGAATGAGTTCAGGATAACGGTCTTTAAGAAGATGATCTCAAAGTTGTAAATAGAAATCTTGTGCACTCTTCTCTAGTGACAGTTTACTCATGCGGCCACACATAAGTACAAGGGAGGCAACGTTTTGTCTACATATTGACAAAAAGAGGAGAATGGATTTGGAGGGACAGCTAACAGTCTGTTGATTTTACCTCCAAATACCTGCCAACTTTAGGTGTCCTCTTTTCTTGCCTTTGTTTGCTGTGGCATTTGTCATATTTGTCTACTTTACTTGGACTAGGAAGTCTTTTGAGCAAGAAATTTTGATTATCTGTCTATTTTTCTGTGTTCCAAAGGATTTTCCAAATATTGTGAAAATATTAACTCATTGGTCTTTAACATCTCTAAGATGACTGACACTTTTTTCCTTTTTGTGTATCTAGTAACTAATTCAATAACAGAGGTGCTAAATATAACAGTTAAGAGATAAGCTTTTATAGCCAGAGAGAACTGAGTTTGAATTCTGATGCTGCAAAATACAACTGCGTGACTTTGGGTATCCAGTCTAAACTTGTCAAGACTTGCATTCCACTTCTACAAATATGAATAGTATCTATATTATAAAATTGTTAGAAAAATTAAATGAAATAATGTATGCAGAGTACTTACATGAGGTATTTCATAGCTGGTCTACTAGTGTTAGCTTTTATTATTATTAATATTAAAATAATCATGACAGGGTAGCTTATACTTGTATAGTGGCATTGCTTTATTTCTAAGGGGAAATACCATATTTTCTAGTTTTTTACTACTTTTTGTTGGTATGAAGCAAAAGCAAATTTTATTTTTGTTTAAAAATCACAGCTTAAATGAAAAACTTTACTGAACGGTGAAGTATATATAAATCCAAATGTGACATATACAGCTTTTCCATTTTATTGCCATCACTTGTATCTAAACTCTTTAGTAATGATCTGGGTTCATCTTATGAATAATTCAGTTCAGCAATCCTGAGGAGCATTTACTGAGTGTGTGACACAAAGACAGATGTAGTAAGGGATAAAGTAGGACTAAGATATATCATCTAAGAGCTCGTAATTTGGTTAAAATTTATAAAATTTAAACATAAATATAGAAGGTGAGATTAATCCTGTCATTTGGGCTTCATGGCATTTTAAGTGATACTCAAAGTTTGGATAGTGCAAACATAAGCTAAACATAAGCTTAAATCTCTGCTACCTCATCAAACTCTTAGATTTGGTATGAAATATTAGGCTGGGCTTGGTGGCTCACATTTGTAATCCCAGCACTTGGGAGGCCGAAGAAAGTGGATTGCCTAAGCTTACAGGTTAGAGACCAGCCTGAGCCAGAGCAAGACCCCGTCTCTAAAAAATAGCTGGGTGTTGTGGTGGGTGCCAGAAGTCCCAGCTACTTGGGGGGCTGAACCAAGTGGCTCATTTGAACCCAAGAGTTTGCAATTGCTGTGAGCTAAGACGCCATGACACCTTACCAGGGGTGACCAAGTAATACTCTGTCTCAAAAGAAAAAAAAAAGATACAAATGACTAACACACCAACAACTAATAAAGGGAACTTATTGCACTAGAAATTCTAAGTAAATAGACAGAAAGCCATACCAAAACCATTTTGCTAGGAAACACTTGCCATGTCACCAGAAAGTCGGTATAGCCATTTTGTCAAAAGTTTCCAAAGTTCCAAACATGTAGGAGAACTCTGTATTAAAAGATGAGTGTATGTCTAAGAAACACATGTAAAATGACCTGTATCATAACAACAAAATAACTGAAGAATATACATTATTAATAGGACTTTAAAATAAATAGATGTGTTCTTTAAAAGAGAAAGGAAACGATTCCATTCCTGAACAGTTATAGACGATATGAAACAAGAACAGTCACTAAAAGGAACAAGAGCTAGTTCTAGTTTTTCGGAAAAAAATATACAATTATGAAAATAAATAACCTAATAGATATGGATTATAGGAAACTGAACAAACTGAAATTAAACTCAGATGAAGCTGAGTAATTCTGGAATTTGGCACAAAGAGGAAAAAGACATTGAAAATATATAAAATGTTAAATAATCTATAAAAGGGATAACATATAGATAAGTTTTAAAAGACAGGGAAAATGTATCTATGTGTTCTAACATCTGTCTTGTAGAATTATCAGAAGTAAAGTCCTCAGTTTTAAAAGTCTAACTTTCTTTCAAATGAAAAAAATATACAAATGGCAATAACAAAAAATACTGAGAAACCCATGGTTAACCTTTAGGAGATAACCAATAATGAAATAATGGGTAACTTCATTGAGCACTTATCAGGAAGTAGGCAGTTTTTTAATCTCTTTACATCTGTTATCTGTATCAGTTCTCATAGGAATCTGATGAAGTTTATCTAATTATTATGTATTATCTATTATGTATTATCTGTATTATGTATACAGATTCGGAAATTGAGGCCTAGAGAGGTTAAGCAACCTAAGTTACGTAAAATAAGTGGTTGAACAGATTTGTACCTACACATCTGCCTTCAAAGCTGGACTCTTCACTAAAATAAAATACTCAGCTGCCTTTGCTATCTGATGCCAGAGACAGAAGATGTCTTACCTATAAAGAACGCGCATTACATTGACTTTAAACTTTCTTAACAGTATGGATGCAAGAAAAGAGTGGGATAAATGCCGTCAAAATGCTAAGAGAAAATCATTTTAAATTTTGAATTCCTTAACTTAACAAAACAAACATTCAAGAGTAAAAGTGAATAGTTTATAGACTTTTGATAGATACAGAGAAAAGATAACAATTAGAGGGACTGACATCAAGTGTAAGCCTGTAGGCCAGAGTAAGCAAGAATGTGTTCAATGTATTGCAAGTAATCTAACTTAACTTCATGGTGGAGGGGTGGGGTGTGTGTGCATTCATCACAGAGTAGATGATAGTAAGTAATTATACTAAAAATATATGTTGGAGTCATATCCTAGGAAACGTGGCTAAATTTAGATGTTTATGTTTAGTTGTATGAGGTATGGTGGGCCATTGAAAACTTTTTAAAGAAAGTATTTATGAAATCAAACCTGCATTTTTGGAAGATTAGTATGTTAGAAATAGATATTAATGGAAAGAGGAGCAGCAACTTTTTAAAATGATCTTTCATTTTGCAAGGGTACACGTCAAATCTATTTAGAGTAGAATATAAATGTCTTAACACAATAAGTAATTAATTAAGTGAGACGAAGGCTATGTTAACCAGTTTGATGTAAACCAGTAGAATATAAATGTCTTAACACAATAAGTAAATAATTAAGTAAGTGAGGTGAAGGCTATGTTAACCAGTTGGATGTAAACATTCCAAATTGTATATAAAATCAGCACATTGTACCTCATAAATGCATTAATAGACACAGTTATGATTTAATAAAAAAAGAGGAAAAATAAAAAATAATAATAATAAAGTGATCTTTTCATCTGCAGTTCTGATCTTGTAAGAGCTTAAAACTTTTTCCTGTTTAAAAATAATCAAAGAATCTCTCTTTTTTCTCTATGTAAAGACCAGATTATCTTCTTAAGCCTTCCCCTTCTAAGTTTATTTATAAGATCATAGAAGTTCAATTTGTTGATGATAAGGGAAATATCACTATAACTAACATTAATGAAGCATTTCTACATTACATGCATATAAATATAATCTGTGGGGTATATATAGTTAATATTCCAGTTTTACAGATGAGAAAAGTGAACCTTAAATTAAGTAGTTTGCCCAAGTTGTCAACTGGTTGCTTGTGGAAGAGTCCAACTTGGAACACAATTGCTGTTCAACTCATAATTGTTGAGGGTACAAGTGTTTGACTCCAGCGAGCTTCTGATGCCAACTAATAAGGAAACAGTTATAATGTGTGTATCTTTAAAAAATACATCAGGTGCTATAGGAGCACAAAGAATGGCTGTCAGAAGTTATTGTTAAGAAAGAGGAGTGTCATGGAATGTTTCTCAATGGAGAACATTCTAAACTACTACCTAAATCATGATTTACAAATAAGAATTAGTTGGATAGATGAAGAGGTATTATGAATTGTCTCAGGATATACTCTGATCTCTTAATGAAATAACATTCCTAGTGGCCTGGACTACCCCTATACGTCCAGGACTATGTATGTGGGTCTCAGAAGTGAATAAAGCTTGTGATCAAACTAAAATGTAGTTATCCTTAGCTACATGAAATGTTTAAATATTTTAACACTTTTAAAAATGTTATTTCACCAGTATACTTTTTTAGTGGCTCTGACTTTAAAAATCCAATAAAACCTCTGCATGTGAATGAAGATATCATATAAAATCAGTCTGAGCTGTGGGAGAGGAAAAAAGACCTCTCTGGATAAAAAGATGAAAATATTAATGAGAATTTCTGTCTTCATTTTATTTAGGGAAGAAAATTATTTCAAAGCTTGGATATTTCTGAAAGACTAAAATTTGTGCTTACTTTAGGTAAGTGTCATGCAATTGATTATCTGTCAACTGTACACATACTCTTTGTAGATACTAGTAATTGTGTACATTGAAGATGTGCTCTTCTGTAATAGTGAACATGTGTCAAGTCTTAAATTTAAGAAAAAAGTGTGTTTAACAACTTACAGAGAAGGTTTATTTTTCATTAGAACAGGCTCATATATTTCTTCAATATATATAGATCCAAACATTTTTAATTCAAATTAATAAAAATTTGTATAATCTACTCTAGAAGGCATAAATTTAAATTTGTGTGATAATAAAGGAGGGAAAAAAGTGATAGAAGAATTTATGTAAAATAACAACAGATTGGTATCCAGGTTAAGAGAGTTTACACATAAGAATATGTACATGAAAGTATTAATAAATATTATATAATAATGAATAATAAGTAAAAGTGCATATAATTTTATGAAATTTGCCACATTTAGTTACAAAGATGGATACTATATCTATTAGTGACTATTGGAGATTCCTAAATGTGGTCTGTGGATTAAACTTATACTTTGAATTCCCAGAGAAATTGTGTGTACATTCTCAAAACTATATTTAATTAAAGTAAATCAGTCTTATAATCATGACAATACAATAAAGCCTTCTTAAAAAGTGTATATATAGGTGCTCGCGTCAGCAGCACATATACTAAAATTGGAACGATACAGAGAAGATTAGCATGGCCCCTGTGCAGGGATGACATGCAAATTCGTGAAGCGTTCCATATTTAAAAAAAAAAAAAAAGTGTATATATAGGTATCGATACTATTTGTCTATGAGGTCTGACAAGTTTGTGAACTTACCTGAGGTAAAGTGCTACAAACCTCATTACTGAACATCACTTTATGAGCCTGTTATAATGAAAAATAAACCTTTGTAAGTCATTGTACACACTTTTTTCACCTATGAAATACTCCTCTTGGAAAGCTATCCACTGATGCCAGCTACTCGTCCACCCTTTGAAGCAATTTTGGAACTCTTTTTTTTCTGGAATAGCCGTGAAAGCTGTCATTGTATTCCCCTTGATGTCCTGAAGGTCATCAAAATGTCTTCCTTTTAACATGTCCTTTATTTTTGGTTAAAGAATAAAGTCATTAGAGGCCAAATCAGGTGTTTGGGGAAGGTGTTCCAATACAGTTATTTGTTTATTAGCTAAAAACTTCCTCATAGTTCTGTATGAGCTGGGGGATTATCATGACGCAAGAGCTATGAGTTGTTGGTCAAGATTTTCAGTTAAGATTTTCCTGTTTCTCTATTGATGTTTACTTGGTCTGCTATGTTACTCATAGTCACCCAATGACTTTGATGCACAGTTCAATGAATTTTTGCAATATTTTGTCAGTTCTGCCCATTACTGGCCATGCTGACTTCTCTTCATCAGTAATGCTTTTCTCCAGTTAGAAAAATGTTTAATCCATTCGTACACTGCTATTTTCTTCATGGCATTATCCCCATAAACTTGGACTACCATGTCCCTGATTTCATTGCCACTCTCGCGAAGTTTAATACAAAACTTACAAATGTTTGTTCGTGGCTCTAATTCCAGCTCTGACATTTTTGTAATGGCCCAGCACACAAAAGCATCCAACAAGAATAGTGAACTCCACTCAGACACTGCCACACGTCCATGTGAACACAACTGTAAAACATTGATATACCGAGGTTATGAAACCTTACTGAGTTGTTTGTACAGTGTTGTCAATGTAAGTGCATGGTGGCAAGTTCACAGACTTAATTGTTAGACCTTGTATATACCATATAACACTATATATATAGGTAGTCATCCCTCAGTATGTACAGAGGATTGGTTACAGGACACCCTTCCACCACCTGCATATACCAACACCCCTGTATACAGTGTTGTGGAACTATGTATATGAAAAGTAAACCCCTCTCTATCTGTGGTGTCTCCATTGTGAATACTGTGTTTTCCATCCATGCTTGGTTAAAAAAATATCCTCATATAAGTGGGCCCTCACAGTGCAAACCATGTTGTTTAAGGGTCAACTGTTTATGTGTATGTATAGATATCCATTGATAGATATATAAATAGATGGATATATCTATTTGGAGAGAGAATATCTTTACCTCTTTGAAGCACTGCTTTATCTCATTTAAACCACTCTTTCAGTATCTATGATTCAATTAATATTAGCATTTGAGGTTATTTTTATTAAAACATGTAAGGGAATTTAACAAAATTATAAGCTTTTTAGTATTTGCAGTTATAAAACTGCATTATGCTCTTTAACACGTTTGGATTAGAGTTTGTTTCCCAGTTAGTCTGATAGATTAGAAAAGCTGCGTTTATTCATATAGTTTTTCTGTTTTATAGACTGCGTAGATGACACTGTAATAGTTCTGGCTGAAGAGCATGGTTGTCTGGACATTATAAAGGTTTGTCATTAATGTGTGTCTTAGTCCGTTTGTGCTACTCTAACAAAATACCTAAGACTGGGTAATTTATAAGAAGCAAAAATTCATTTTCCATACTTCTGAGGGCCATGAAGTCCAAGATCCAGGTGTCAGCAAGTTTGTTTGTCTGGTGAAGGCTGCATCCTCCTGAGGGGAGAACCACTGTATCCTCATAAGGCAAGGTGGGGAATCGCTGATTCCTTCCTGAAGTCTCTTTTCCATCCACGAAGAGAAGCACCCTTACAACCTAATCACTTCTTAAATGCTCTACCTTATAAAACCATCGCATTGGCCATAAAGTTTTAACACCTGACTTTTGGAGGGAACACATTCAAACCATAGCAATCTGTTCATGAAAACGTGTTTATTTTGCATATTTGCAATCCAATAGCAAGCTGTTAAGTCATTAAATATGAAATGTCCAATTTTGAATCAAAAGTTTATTATGTCTCAAATAAGAAGCAGTCAAAGTGTGAGCCTAAACTGTCACACAGTGTTGCCATGTTAAAGGTAGCTCGTTTATGCCAGCAGCAAAGAAATCTGGAGAGTAGCAATGAAATCATAAAGGACATTTTCCACAGCTTGTGGAGAATTGAATATTTTTCCTTGAAGAAGTGATCCAAAGCCTAGAAAAAGTGGCAGTCAGGTGGGTCCAGAGTCTGGTGAGAATGGTGGATGACAGAGTTTCCAAGTTTAGCTTCATAGTTTGAGCAGCATTGTTTGGACGATGTGAATAAGTGTTTTTTTGCAATAAGATTGGCCTCTTGACCAGTCTCAGCTACTGGCTGCTTAATCACGATCATCCTAACCATTTCCTCCAGCTGGTTGCAGTAGACACCTGCGATAATTGATGGACCAGATTTCATGAAACTATAGTAGATAATCTCAGTGCTGGACCACCAGACACCGTTAGCTTTTAATAATGAATATTCCATTGTGGACTGTGTTTCAGCATTCCATTTTTATCTAGCCGTTATGCCAACACTTGGAATTGTCGAAAATAATCCATTTTTTATCACATTTTTTTCATCATACTGTATAAAATAGTTTGCCTCTATGTCTTGATAGCAAAGAAAGGCAAGCTTCAAGATGATTTCTCTTCGGACCCTCATTTAATTCATGCAGTACCCATCTATACAGTTTCTTTACCTTGCCGGTTTCAGATAATATGGTCTTGTTGGGATGGTGACATCAAACCTTGCTGCTAATTCATGCACAGTTTGAGATGGATTCTCTTCCACTACAGCTTTCAGCTCTCCATTATCCACCTTGGTCTTAGGCCACCCACATGGCTCATTTTTAAGATTAAAGTCATACCAGAAAGGAATTTCTCAAACCATCTACGTACTGTGTGTTCATTAGACACATCTTTCCCAGACACTTCGCTGATATTTCAGAGCTGTTTGTGCTGTGTCGGTTCCATGACAGAACTCATATTTGAAAATGTCATGAATTTTTATTTATCCATGGTTTCATAAGAATGAGGATATACCTCCACAATAAAAATTAGATAAGAAGTGTCAAAGTGAAATGTCAGAGATATCAATTGTCAAACTGTGTACTTAAAAGAAATTGGGCAGTTCTTAATAACCTTGTATTTCAAAGCTATGTTCATTTTTCTTTAAGTATTTGCTTTTTCACAAATACTTTATAGTTTTATGAATTTCTATAAAGTACAAATAAAAACTGTTAAAAAAGGCGAAACCTGAAATGGCAAGTATTTGAGTAAAATAATATTTCTAAAATTACTCATTTTAAACAATTATGTTCTCTCTTTATTTTTCAGGAGCTTCCTGAAAATGTGATAGATCTTTTGAAGAAGTGCCTCACCTTCCATCCTTCTAAAAGGTTGATATTATTAACAGTTTGGGGATTACATTGAGATCTTTTATATGTAAGCAGTTGTGGGTTTGCTCCCCTTATCTGTTATGATACTAATGGATTAAATATGAATTATATATGCATAATAGTAGTAAATAATTGACATCAGTATTGTAACCATGAGTGATTTAAAGCTGTAATTTATTGTTAAAAGATAAAGTAATTAATGCTTAGAAAGCTGACTTATACAAAAAGAAGTTACAAGTTCATTTCCTAGCCTCCAACTAGAAAATCTGCTAAACCTATGGAAAGTAGATATTTCTAGACTCAATGATAATACCAGAGAAATGAGAACAGAAGTTTGTTCATGATATTTATTATAGCTGTGAGCCCGGATAAATGGTTAGGTAAATTAACAATTGCTGATAATAGAAAAGGATTTCTTAGAAGTTTGATTACTTTACTTTCTTTTGATGTTATCACTTGTCATACAATTATTCCTAAACAGTTATTCCTAATGTTTGAAAATAATGCATTCTAATTTGTCTTTAGAAAAAACTTAGGAAGGTATGTTAGGGAGAGAAGAATGGTAGTTTGGGGTGAATATCTCACATTAAATTAAAGGGAAAGAAGAAAATCCAAAAGGTATTATTAGTTTATGAACATATTATTTAATCGAGATATTCAGTAAAGCAGGCATGTCTTGTCAGGCTAAATGTGAGAAATGCAAAAGCTCTTATGGAATGATTTTTTGGTAGATGCATGAGGTACCAAAAGTATAACAAAAGCAAAAAAAAATTCAGTATTTACTCACAGTCATTTGATTGTTATATAAAGGCATACAATTAGACTCTGCAAATGGGAGGTTTATTATTTCCTGTGCTAATGAGGTAGTTAAGCCTTTTAACTATCCCCTTGAATGTGTACCAGTATTCTAAGATATTTTTATGACTTTCGTTTATGTTCTGTATTTTCGATGTGTTTTTCAAGGCCAACCCCAGATGAATTGATGAAGGACAAAGTGTTCAGTGAAGTGTCCCCTCTATATCCTCCCTTTAACAAACCTGCCGGTCTGTTTTCATCTTCTCTGAGATGTGCTGATTTAACCTTGCCTGAGGATATCAGTCAGTTGTGTAAAGGTAATGGAAAATGAAACGTGGGCAACAATGAGCCTTGTTTTTAAGGGAAGTTCCCTTATCTGAGTTTCAGTTTCGGATTTATCAACAATATACATCACATACATGAGATTTCGTGTGTCATTAATTGAGAATTAAGAAGTGATTCAGGAAGAATAACTGACCTAACGTTTTACTCTTTAAGTTACTGAATTTCTGTATAATTTATGAATGATCTCTAAAAATCTTATCATTGAAAGGAAGTCCATACCATTTTATTCTGCATGTTGAAAAGAATATCAGCTTTTAGGTTTTTATTCTTATGTGAAGGTTACAACTCTCAAAATGTGTGGTAGGGTGATACCAGTAAGTTATCAAAACATATGTCATGGCAGAAAATATTTACTAAATATTCATTCAATTAAATATTTTTTGAGTTCCTACTATGCACCACATACTGCTAAATATGTTCTAAATATGTTCTATGCACATATGTTCTAAATAATATGCATGCCAAATGGGAAGGCAGACAAACATTTAGTTACATAATCACTATTTTAAAGGAAAGTCGCTATGAACGTAGCAGAGGAGTGCCTTTGGGACAGCAAGAAAGACTTTTCAGGAGATGTAGCCCTTCCCTTGAGACATGAGAGATGGGGCAATTTGTGTTGGTTGCCTAACCCAGTGCTTTTTTTACTGTTATTCCTCTCTCAATATAAGGGGTAAAAGCTCCAATTCTGCATTTCTACCAGAAAGGGTAAACATTTCAGATTGTCCGTTTTCTAGCTTCCCTTGCTATAGGAAGTAAGCTTGTGAACTGGAGAGTTGGTTTATGGAATCCAAATGGAAGTCTGAGCATGAGGATTTCTTCTAGGAAAAAATTTTCTTTCATGACAAAATAGATAACGATAGCATAGCAGCGATTCACCATGTTCTCTTTTGAATGCAGGAAAGGGTCTAAGAGACCCAAGTTTGGGTCCCTTAGGCATCCTAATTCCTATGTTTTAATTGAGAGATGTAAATGTCTTTATTGTATAAGCCACTTTAAGTAGAATATTATTTTTAGGCAGGAGCATTCAAATCATTACAAAAATTAGAATCTGCCAGTCATGACTTACCTTCGAGTGGGAGAAGGGAAATACTCAACTCTGGCCTGTTCTACCTGATGGCAGAGAAACACCTGTGTGGACCTCAGTCCAGAAACACAGGTTAGCTGAAAGATTGAGACCTATTCACAGGCTGACCATAGGATGCTTCCCCTCGCCACACTTACCACCAGGTTGAAGAGCCGGATGGAATTGGCTTATTAACGCAGCAAGTGGGCTCTGACTGACTGGTTTCTTCTGAAGGCAGGCTTTGTTAAAAACAGTGCAAGTCACTGAAATAGTTTCTTTTCCTCTTTCCACTACTGGAAGCACAAAGGCATTTTTTTCCAATATTCACTGTAAGAATCTGGTCAGACTCCTGAAGGTAAAACTTGTAAAAGTATGAGGATGCTCCTTATGACTGGTTCTCTCTGGGTATCCAGCACTTTTTCAATTAAAGTTTAAGTTTTCCTACCCAGCACTGGTTCTGAAGGCTTTTTCCTCTCATGAGTCTCTGCTTCAGTGAGCCATGACCCCCGTACTTTCCTTTCTGCCTATCCAGTCTTGTAGGCAGAAGCTTGCCCTATACCCTCACCTCTCTTACAGGTGCAAGAATTGATATTTCAGTCCGTTCAGCTTTTTACTTGTTAGGATGCGTAACAACTTCAGGCTCCTTACAGTCAGAACAAGAAACGCTAAGTCTGCTCTTCAGGTTTTGACCTTTTTCAGAATGTCAGCTATTATTACCAATCGATTTTTAAGAAAGTCAGAAAGTATAATCACTATGATTCATTTTAATTTGCCATTTATAGATATAAACAATGATTATCTGGCAGAAAGATCTATTGAAGAAGTTTATTATCTTTGGTGTTTGGCTGGAGGAGACTTGGAGAAAGAGCTTGTCAATAAGGAAATCATTCGATCCAAACCACCTATCTGCACACTCCCCAAGTAAGGAAAGAACACTTCTTTTGGAAATGAAAACACATATCTGATAATAGCATCAGAAAGAGTTTTTGGTTGATTTTTTTTTTCCAGATATTTTTGGTGGATAGCCCAACTAACTGATTTTGGAAGCAATTTTAAGTTCATACCTTGTTTGATTTGCCAGAGTTTCTAATTGCAGAGTTCTCGTCAACATTTTCTAATGTTTTTAATTGTATTATCTTTTAATAAATAATTTGCTTTATGATCTATTTGAAATAAAATTATGGCATATGTAACAATAATTGACATGAATGAAAAGTGTACAAGTTAAAACAGTAATAGTTAAGAGCACTAACTTTATAACTAGGCTAGTGGCTAGTGCGCTTATTATGAAGAACTACATTCTGTTTCCAAATGTATTTGGAAGTGCAAATGAACCATGTGGTCTCACCACGTGTCCTAGATATCATCATTATGCTTAATGTGTTGAGAAAAATATGCAAAACTGCATGAGAAGATGCTATACTGTAAATTAGACTGGAACTTAAATAATTATAGTCCAAAGCCAAAGTTGTATTACCATAACAGTGCTATTCATATTTATTCATAAAAAATATGAACCTGATTTTCTTGAACTTCTGCCAGTGCTTTAATATGAATTTTAGATTGTAGGGCTTAGATTTGATCATTGTGAGAAACTAAAGAAATCGTCCACTCTTTTTTTTTTTTTTCTGCACTTGTTAAACTTTCAGATTCATTATTTGGATAGACCATTAGTTTTCTGTTTTTTTTCTTTCATTAACTAATTTCTTAAAATACTATAATTATGCCACTCATACATGATGGAAATTCCAAGAAGAAATAGTTTGAAGGATACATAGATTCTTAGAAGTAATTCTCTGAATTTCTGAACACTTTCATCCATTTTCTATTCAGTATTTTCCCCCTGTGAGGTTACCTAGCATGGCTCTTTCTTTCTTCTCCTTGTCATCTTTCACCTATGTAAACTTTCTTAGGATCATATTTGGGAGTGTCAGGAGAGTAATTTTAGCACTAAGCCTGTGCGAACAAAGGCTTATAAATGACACCCTGTATTCCTGAAGTGCTTTATACTAGTATACCAAATTCAGAGGTATATACCAGCTTGGTAGGAAGTTCCTACCAACTTCTGAGGTATCTAAAAATTAGGCTTATTTAAAAAATCTCAACCAGTGTTACATATTTTTTCAATTAAACATCATCCAGTTGAAAATCTACTTCTTTCTTGATTAAAAAATTGATAATCTGGAATAAAATTTATTTTCTAGAGGGAAACAATTGATTTTTTTGTCCTCACTATAATTATTTTTTTAAATCTCTTTTCAGTTTTCTCTTTGAAGATGGTGAAAGCTTTGGACAAGATCGAGACAGAAGCTCCCTTTTAGATGATACCACTGTGACGTTGTCATTATGTCAGCTAAGAAATGTAAGAATGCTATTTTGCCAAATTTGCTTCAGATCTTTTTTTTAAAAAAACCTTAAAGATACACGTGAAGCCTTATATTCCTCCCTAATTTCATAAAATATATGAGAATTTCCCTAAGAGATAAGTCCCAGAATAGAATTGCTGGAAAATAGCATCTGCACAACTTCAGCCTAAACACCTATCATCTGATTATTGACAAAAATGATTTCTGTCAGTTTATCTTTACACCACAATTGGGTAAGTTTTCTCATTTCTCTACTACTTGGCAATATTTCATGTTATCAAATTTTGAAAGAAGATTTTGTTAATTTATGATGGAATGATAATTTTGCCATATACTAATTTTTAATCCCCTGATTATAATGCAGTTGGGGGTCTTTTAACATTTGTTCACTGTTTGCTTACCTCTTTTTTATATTGCTAGTTCATGACCATTGTCAGTTTTTCTACTGTGTGATTCCTTATTGATTTGAAGGGGGTTTTTTGATGTAAAACCCATGCCAATATTTATTTCATATCTTATTGAAAAAGATTAGTCATTGCTTTCATTTAGTATATCATAGTTTATAGTTTATCTAACTATGCTTCATCAGAAGGATGCTGATTCTCCCATTTCACATTACTTTCGAAATTTATTTTCATTATTGTTTTTATTCTAAACACCTTTATATTTTTCTTAGAATATAGAAAAGATAGGACATATTTATGGTTGCCATATTTAACAAGGTTGGTAGAAAAAGAATTATAGATATGTCTGTGTGACATGATACAATTTTAAAATTAAGGGCAGCATTAATGGGGGAGGCAGCCTCAGTGTAGTAGAAAGAACCTGCGCTTGGAAACAGATGATACAGGTTCCAAAGTTCACTCTGCTTTTTCTCTGCCCAAGGTTATATGGCTAGTGCTTAATGCCTCTGAGCACTTGTAATATCTTTTATAAGATCAAACTAATATCTATTTTGCAGCGATCCTGTCTGTGACTGAGATCCTGTCTATAAATAAATAAATAAATAAATAAGGGTATGGGGGCCAGGTGGCTCAAGAGAGGCCAAGACGGGAGGATCACTTGAGCTCAGGAGTTCCAGAATGACCAGTTAGGAGGTAATGCTTAAAAGCCTGAGCTTAAGAGTGAGGCAGACAAACCTACTCTGCTACCTGCTAGCTGTGAGCCACTAATAAGTTACTAAACATAGCTTTGTCTCACTTTCCTGTCTGTAAAATGGGATAATGAGAGAGTCTATTTTATAAGACTGTCGTGTAGCTAAAAGAATATATATAAAAGCATTTATAGGCTCAGCACCCTTAGCGCAGAAGTTGCAGTGCCGGCCACACGCACCAAGGCTGGTGGTTTAAATCTGGCCCAGGCCAGCTAAACAGCAATGACAATTGCAACGAAAAAAATGGCTGGGCATTGTGGCAGGCACCTGTAGTTCCAGCTACTTGGGAGGCTGAGGCAGGAGAATCGCTTGGGCCCAAGAGTTTGAGGTTGGTGTGGACTATGATGCCACGGCACTCTACCAAAGACAGCATAGTGACTCTGTCTCAAAAAAAAAAAAAAAAGCATTTATATTACCTTCATTACAAATAATTTCTAATGTGAAGTGATAAGGACCTGGACAAGGACAAGTAACTAAAAGGAAAAGATGACTTGAAGGGACATTTCCATAGACTCCTGAGATGTTATAACTAGAAAAGACCCTAGAGAACATTTCCAAAATTAAAATGGATAAAATGTGGCCCCAGTTTAAATGTCAGGGATTAAAATAACAATGGGGTAAAACAGCTCAAAGATTTTGACTCCAAGAGGACCCAAAGACATAGACTTGGCATAATTATATGTTATCAATAATAACCTTTAAAATATAAGATACAATTATTGGGCATACAAGTCAAACACTGTACTGGTTATTGATTTGAAGATTTTTAAAAATATACTCCAGATATTGTATCTTCATTTGCTATATGTCATGGATATGTTTTCTAAACTCCTATTTTTCTTCAACTTTTTGATATATCTTTTGATGAGTAGAATTCTAAATTTTTATCAGTATTTCACTTTATAGTCAAATTCATTTTATTTGATATATTTCATTTGTTGTAACTTATTTAAATTATACTAAGGTCCTAAGTATTTTTTCCTATAATGTTTTTCTATATTTTCTTCTAAAAGATTGAAAGAATTTTTCATATGTAGTTCTTTAATCTACCTGGAATTTATTTTTTATTAAATTATGAGAAAGATATCCAATATTATATTTCATTGACAAGCAGTAATCCTTTGACTCAATGCCATATATTGAATGCTTTTCTTTATATTTTTTGGTTTTTGTTTTTATGTGTAATACCTACTTTTCGGTATATGCAAAGATATGTTTCTGAACTTTTGAATTCTGATCTCTTGTCCTGTATGTCTAACCTTAACCACACTGCCTTAATCCGTAATTTTATAGGCGTTCTTGATGTCTAGACAGGAAAGATCCTCAATTATTTTGTCCTCAAAATGAAGTAGGCACTCTTTGACATCATGCTTTACTAGGTGATTTTTATAATCATCTTACATACAGAGTTTCATCAAAAATGTGTAGGATTTTGATTGACATTGTATAGAGAATTTCATGTTACCGTTGTAGGTCAATTTATAGAGAATTGCTGTTTTTTAAGGATGGGGTCCTATTTCTTGAACATATTATAGATACACCATTTATTTAATTCTTATTTAATATAACAATTTTCTCTTTAATGTCTGTATATCATTCATTAGATTTATTCCTGAGGTAAGTTATTGTTGCTTTTGTAAATAGAATTTGTATATGTATGAGTATTACGTTTTCCAATATTTTATTGTAGACATTTTCAAACAGAAAAAAAGTTGAAAAATTTTTATAGGGAACAACTAGCCACCTACATCAGGGGTTGATATGATCTGCTGGCCATATCAAGTCACATACCTAGCCATTTACTTATTCTGTGCGGCTTACATATTTTGGTGCCACATTGGTGAGATTGAGTGGTTGCTGTAGAGACCATGTAACTCTCAAAACTGAAAACCTTTATTATTTGGGCCTGTATAGAAAGTATTTGCCACTCTCTGACCTAGATTCTATAACACTTACTTGTTTTGTCACATGTCTGTCTATCCCTCTAGCCAATCGTCAACCCATCTCAGTTTTTGTTCTTGCATTTTAAATCAAGATAAAGACATCAGTACAATTCAGTTTACACATTAACTGGAGTTTAGTATTGGTTTGGGTTCTTTTTAGGCAAAACTTGATTATAAGGAAATGCACAGATCTTAAGTATACTATTAGATGCATTTTTAAAAATCCAACAATAATATTTTTAGAATGCTATTTCAACTATTTTTTGCGCATAATTAGGAACACAACTTATATTTGTGTGTAGATCTCGTACCTAGCAACATTGCTGAACCTAGTCTTTATTTAAATCATGTATCAGCAGGTTCTCTGGGGATTTTCTTATGAATTAGGTTAGTGTTTTGTCATCATTTCCAGTTCTATTCACTACTTTTCTTGTCATTTTTGCTGAGCCTTTGTTACAGTATTGATTAGAAGTAGAAATGATTTTAAAGGAATCACTTTATATATTTCATCATTGAGTGTATTTGTTGTGTTGGGCTTTGGCAGTCTCTTATTGCTAATTTGCTATGAATTTTTTTTTTAACATTTTGTTGTTGTTGTTGTTGTTGCAGTTTGGCCAGGGCTGGGTCTGAACTCACCACCCTTGGTATATGGGGCTGACACCCCACTCACTGAGCCACAGGCAACCCCCCCATGCTATGAATTTTTATTATAAATGGGCGTGGAATTTGTGCTTTTTATCCTCTTTACCTTGTTTTCTTCTGTTTTGTTCCCTCCGTTGTACTTTTCTTCATCTAATGTACTGTGATGTTCTCTCTAAATGATAGCTCAATGAAGGCATTAATAACGTTCTCTTATATCTCAGGCCTTACGAGTTTGTGAATGTTTCTTTTTTTTTTTGATAGGGTATATCAAGAAACTTTTATTTATTATTATCCATAGTAAACTGGCTCAGTTGTTACTTAATTGGAAACCTTTTACTTATTCGGAAACCTTTTATTTATGCAGTGCTGAAAGATTGGTTTATTAATTTAACAATGTATGGCTTCTGTTGTTACTATTGAGAAGTCAGCTTTAATACTAATGATTTTTTGTAATGTACCTTTTTATTTTGTCTCCTTTTCTTTTATGTTCTATACTTTCACAGAAATGAATCAAAGTGTGCTTTGTTTTTTATGTCTTTTTCCATCCGTATATGTGTGTTTATCAAAAACCTTTGTTCAGAAATTTCAATTTTATGTCTGTTGGAAATTCTCATTCTCTCCTCTAAGTTCCTTTGTGGGTTATCTATTTCTGGGTTCTGTTTAGAAAGTAGTTTCTTTGTATCTGTCCTCTTGTTCACTAAACTCTCCAGCTATATCCTTTGGCCACTTAAACTTTCCATTTAGTTTTTAGCATCAATAATTAATTTTTAATGGAAGTTGTATTTGTTTTTTATAGTTACTGTTTTTTATGCAAATAATTGATTGATTTTTCTCAGTTCTGTTTTATATTTTCTTAAATGTGTTAAACATGCTTCCTTTGTATTTGACATTCAACAGTTCTGGTATATAAAGTCTTCACCAGCCTTTTTCTGGTTTGTTTCCCTGTTTTTCACTCATGGTGACTTGTTACTGCCTATGTTTTGTGATTTTTGCTTTTTTCTTTAATTTTATATGTTTAGAGCTCTGGGGGAATCTTTTAGACCTGGTTCTAGCATGTTTTCTGACAGGTTCTTGGCTCCACTACTTTTGAAGACAATAGTGAAAATGGAAATTCATGCTCCAGAGCCCGTGTTAGGGCCAGCCAGAGGACACACGTTCCAAGGAATGTTTTCTTTTCCATACATAGAGGGTGCCAAAAACTTGTGTACACATTCTAAGAGAAGAAAAAAAACTATATTAAATTTATAAAACTCAAGTC